CTTAATCCACGGTGCACCTCCTTTCTCAGTGTCAGGTAGCTGGGATTTAACCATGCTCATATCTTGAAGGCTAAAGGGAGTGTAAGTCTGTGTTATCCCTCCCTGAGGTGAGATGGACTGTAGCAATGGTAGCTGCTGTGAAGGAATGTCAAAACAATCATGGATGTTTCCCTATCCTCTCTGTTGTGATGAAAAATCATGCATTGTGCCATCCCAGCTGGAATCACTTTCATGAGACATTGCTGGTACATCACAACCATGTCTATCTTCTTCCTCTGCGAGAGAGCCAGAGGCACATGTACTGACAACTGGAGATGTGAACTGGTCTAAACAGCCAGATTTTAACTCATTTAGATAAGTCTGTTCGGTAAGTTTGTCAGCTTTACTTCCTGGAACTGATGCTGTGTTCAAAATTCCCCCCTGTACAACCGCCAGGGGCGCCATGTCCTGTGTGGCATCTGTCCAGATAAGCCACTTTTCTGTATTGGCTTCCGCTCTCCTCGTGGAGATTGTGGGGAAGACGGCTGTGTGTCTGAACTGTACTTTGCAATCTTTGCAGTTTGCACTGGAATGCCTGTCTGGTTGTACATCAGTGCCACTCGAAGAATTGACTTCAACTGTCCCATGTGACTTGCTTGAACTGGCTGAAGGAGACTGAAAACACTTGAAAGTCTCCAAAAAGCATACACAATCGGCAAGAAAACCCTCAGCTTGTTTTAATCTGGCTTCTGTTTTGTTCCTTGTCAAAAATGTACAGGATTTTACTTCCTGTCTAGCTTTCACTGTAGCTAGAGAGGCTTGCTTCAAAAACAGCCCTATAGCATTCCCTTGTGGGGGAGGACTGTCACTGTCCCCAAAAATCTGTTTTCTTCTTTTTGCATCTGCATTATCCTGCTTATATTTAGGAACTGTATTTAACCATTTAGACAACTTGTAGAGTACTGACCCCAAAGAGTAAGGCTTGGCCTTTCCCCATTTGCAGACATTATTAAAATTCATGTACACATGACCGACGTTTCAAGTGAAATGGTCTCGGCCCAGAACCTGCTAGATTCGGTTGGGAACCTTCTACACCAACTAGGTTGGTGTGCTCGATCGCTGGGAGTTCACCCAATCAACAGCTCTGTTTTAATTCCACTGAATATGCCGTCACCCTAAATTTCTATAATACAGTTTTCCCATAGACTATGCCCAGCCTCGGAACCAAAAACAACTCTGCCAGAGGTACAAATTCTCTCCATAGCACTTGTTGCTATGGGGTACACATGTGCCGGTGTTCAACAGCCTTCGTGCAGCAAACCACCCACACAGATATTGAAAATAAAAAATATTTCCCTGTGCCCTCATTAATCATTTAACATTTAGCAGTGATCGTCATATAAATATTTAGACATTCAGGAAGGTGCTCCGCTCAGAGAAGTCTCTGCCTCCGACTTCCGCCTTCAGCAAGCCAGCCTTCTCATCGGAGCAAAAATCATAATAATTTTGGAGACAACCGTCAAAATTTGTGGTTATCCACTTATTAATGTGAATTTTACGTCTCTGATAGTCATCATTTAGTAACTAGGGCACTTATGTTCTCTGTCCCTCAAATGAGACTATGTGCTTGTAACTTTAAGATGTGGCATAAACAAAACAGCACATTTTAAAATAAAAGTGTTATCATACCCGTACTGTAATCATTCAATTTTGGATCGGGAATTCACAGTCCACACAGATCAACAAAATTTTGTTAGGTCCAATATGCAGGAATGTTGATCAGTGAGTCCGTTCACCCCCGACTGGAATCCAACTCAGAAATTCAGCCAATTCCGAAGGTCATGGCACCAAGTTGTTATACCCCAGTTCTTTTACTGGACAGATCTGAGTAAAAAAAGGAGTTGGTCTTTCTTGATTTTAGTGCTGGTTTAACTTACAAATATATATATATAGAAATATATGTATAAAAAGGATTACAGAACACAACCCAGGGCTCCCTCCTTCAGACAAGCTGCTCAAGCTGCTGGAGAAGAGAGCAGGGAATAAGCACCAGGAAACCACAGAACCTAAAACTAGCTTTGGGCTAACCCCTTACACAGATGAAGTCCGTCC